AGTGTTCTCATCCGTATACGCGTTAGCTATAGGTGGGAAACACCTCAGCTACTGCGCTTGAAATACACAAAACTGAAAAAAGCAACAGACGAAAGCCAACTGAGCTGCCGGTAACAAATGGGCATCGTTCCCGTAAACTACCAGCCGGCTAATATGCAGCCAAAGAAACTTACTATGGTAAATTATATAACGCTAATTGGTGAGATAATGGTTGGAGGGGAAGGCTATGTGGGTCGGAGTGGGACAAAGAGACTCACCGCATGAACGCCATTGACTTCGGCTCCTAGCCATACCAACAAGTGCATCCAACCAAACGTGTTCACCGTCTTTTGGACCCTAACCAGGGAGCCGTGACGCTCCAACCGAGGCCAGCTCCGAAGTGAGGGACTTCATTCTCCTGGACCAAGTCATCGCTTGGCCACCCTCCTCTTCTTCCACCCACATCCCCGGTGAGCAAACAATGCACGTCCCGGGAGCCGGTAGGCTGGCATGCGTAACACGTGGCCGAGCCATCGGAGCCTGATGCGTGAAATAACGGTGCTCAGCTGTTCAGTTCCCTTTTCTGTATCGTAAACAAGGCGTCGAACACGCTCGTTACTCACGCGGTGTTCCCACCAGATGTGAGCCAAACTGCGAAGGCACCGATGGTCGAACGTAACTATCCTCTTCATGTCCGCTGATCTTAGGGGCCAGGTTTCGCAACCATGCAGTAGGGTCGAAAGTGCCGTTGCATTGTACACTCTACACTTCAGGGCGAGAGTTATGTCGCGCCGCCGCCGTAGGTGACGGAGGTTAGAAAAAGCACTCCGAGCTTTTGCTATACGGTTCGTGATCTCGTCTTCGATCCCAAGGGCGCTGATACAACTTCCCAGGTAACTGGATTTCCGAACGACTTCTAGCTGATCCCCATCAAGGGTCAGCGCAGTAGGCGATCTCTGCCAATCTTGGAGGAAAGCTTTGCACTCCGATGGCGCAAAGCAAAGCCCGAAGCGGCTGAAGCTAAACAGAGTCGGACGAAAAAACGTAAGAATTTCCCCCCGTCTTCTACAACTAATATCGGTCTGAGCGATGTTGCACGCCCTCGAAACAATACACCTAATGTTATCATAATATATAATAATATATTGTCAACTATGTTGAGGACGATGGCGTGTTTTCCTCTTCTGCATCTTTGGATAACCTCAGAGGCGACTGCATTTAGGAAGGAAGTTTAATGCTCCAGTTTTTTGCTTTTGCGTTTGACTAGCCGGAGACCGAATTATGTATGAAACTGACATAAGGATATCTCCAAGTGAGTTAAACAACTTTAGTTTCTCATATTGTTCCGCTAACTGTTTCTCCAACATTTTTATTTTGGCTGACAGTGGAGATATAACTTCGACAACACTAACTGAATTCTCTGTCATTTGTCTTTTGGACTTAGTTACCTGCTCTTGTATCCCACGATCACTGGTCAAATGTTCGCCAGACCTTACTAGCAACAGGCATATCCTCATGTGGGATACATACATGTGGGATACATACATATTAGGTCGCTTCACAGTCTCTGGAACTTATCGAGGCTCGCCGGCATATCCAGCTGGAAGCGAACACAATGGAACTCGCAAAAAGCTCCGGGCCAGACTCCGTGCTAGCCTGAAGAGAGACGGCGAAGCTTGGTGGTATCATCGTGCGTCAGAGATGGAAGTGGCCGCTGCCTTTGGCAACCATAGTAAGTTATTACGTCTGATACGGGAATCCGGCAGCAGGAGACCTGGTGTTAGTGAAAAAATTTGTGATGAGAGTGGACAGCCTATCCACAATTTGTCAAAACGTTTGGAGCTTTGGGCTGAGTATTTTGAAAAGCAATTTAATCGGCTAGAATTGTTCGATTCTTCGCCAGCCAGTGATCGCCCTGCTCCGTGGGCTGTCCTTTTGGATCCACCCTCTAGCTCAGAAGTTGAACGTGAGATCGGGCTGTTGAAGTTGTACAAAGCCGCGGGACCAGATGATTTTCCCCCAGCCCTCTACAAATCCGGAGGCTCTACTCTTGTTAATTCTTTACATGAATTACTACTGAAACTGTGGGAGCAGGAGACTGTCCCAACCGACTGGAGCTGCTCCGTCATAGTTCCAATTTTCAAAGGAGGCTCACAATTGGGATGCAGCAACCATAGAGTAATCAGTCTGATATGCATCGCCTCCAAATTACTCGCGTCCATAATTCTTCACAGACTGACTGGCGCTCGTGAAAGCCAGATTCGTGAGGAGCAAGCCGGGTTTCGTCGGGGTCGTGGCTGCATCGACCACATATTCACCTTGCGTCAGTTGTTGGTGCAACGCCACACATATTAGCGGCCCACCGTTGTCGTGTTCTTCGACATTAAATGTGCCTTGGATTCAGTTGATCTATGTGCTCTTTCGAATTGTCTACTCAGGAAATGTGTGGCCGAGAAATACGTAAACATTATTATCATTGCGTAGCACGGGCAGAGTGAGGACTTACGGCCAGCTGTTGCCACCCTTTAATATCTCCAGCTGTGTGAGACAAGGATGCCCGCTGTCACCTTGCCTCTTCAACTTCGCTATTGACGAAGTCATGGAGATTGCGTTTACAGGACACGACTTGGAAGGTGTGGAGCTACTCCGAGGAGAACGACTCCTTGACTTGTATATGCGGACGACATTGCACTCATCTGTGACAGCTCCAAGACGTGCCAAGCCGCGCTAGACAGATTAGCACTGGCTGTCAGCCACTTCAAGCTTTGCTTCGCACTATCGAAATGCAAAGCTTTCCTCCAAGATTGGCAGGGATCGCCTACTGCGCTGACCCTTGATGGGGATCAGCTAGAAGTCGTTCGGAAATCCAGTTACCTGGGAAGTTGTATCAGCGCCCTTGGGATCGAAGACGAGATCACGAACCGTATAGCAAAAGCTCGGAGTGCTTTTTCTAACCTCCGTCACCTACGGCGGCGGCGCGACATAACTCTCGCCCTGAAGTGTAGAGTGTACAATGCAGCGGTACTTTCGACCCTACTGCATGGTTGCGAAACCTGGCCCCTAAGATCAGCGGACATGAAGAGGCTAGTTACGTTCGACCATCGGTGCCTTCGCAGTTTGGCTCACATCTGGTGGGAACACCGCGTGAGTAACGAGCGTGTTCAACGCATTGTTTACGGCTCAGGAAAAGGATCTGAACCGCTGAGCACCGTCATTTCACGCAACAGGCTCCGATGGCTCGGCCGCGTGTTACGCATGCCAGCCCACCGACTCCCTCGACGTGCGTTGTTTGCTCACCGGGGATGTGGGTGGAAGAAGAGGAGAGGTGGCCAGGCGATGACTTGGTCCAGGGGAATGAAGTCCCTCACCTCGGAGCTAGCCTCGGTTGGAGCTTCACGGCTCCCTGGTTGGGGTCCAAAAGACGGTGAACACGTTTGGCTGGATACACTTGCTGACATAGCAAGGAGCCGACCTCAGTGGCGTTCATGCTGTGAGTTTCTTTGTCCCTCCCCGTCCCTTTTAGCCTCCCCATCCATCTACGATCTCATTTCGTAGGGTAAAACATAATTTTTTTTCGTTTTGCCTAGTAGCTAGCTGGAAGCTTACCGGAACGATGCCTATCCGTTGCTGGTAGCTCAGCTGGCATGCAACTGTTGTATCTACATCTCCTTTGTGTATTGTATTGTATGTATGTATGTATTTCCTTCATGTATTGCGGCACAATAGCGGAGGTGTTTTTCCCACCTCTAGCTGATGTGTATAATGAATGAATGAATGAATTGCACAGTCGAAAAGCAATGTCCTTCTCCAAAATTGGTAGGGATCCACTCCTGCGCTGAACCTTCGCGACGATCAGCTAGAAGTCGTCCAGAAATTCAAGCATCTTGATAGCTATATTAACGCCCGGGGCGCTTTCGCTAATCTCTGCAACCTGTAGCGTCATGGTGACATCACTATCACTCTGAAAAGCAAAGCTTACAGTGCAAAAGTCCGGTCAACCCCCTGTACGGTTGTGAAACCTGGCCCATTAAATCAGCCGACAAAGTGGCTAGCTATGTTCGACCACCGCTGCCTTCGCAGCCTAGCTCATGTCTAGTCGAAACACTGCGTGAGCAATGAGCGTGTTCGGCGACACGTATTTGGTTTAGGAAGAGCGACCGAAGTGCTAAGCACCATTATATCACGCACCAGACTCCGATGGCCGGGCCACAAGTTACGCATCAGAGCATACCGACTCCCGGATCGTGCGTGGTTTGCGTGCTCGGAGTCTGAATGGGAGGAGAAAATATGCCAAGCGATGACTTGGTAGTGAGGATTTCAGTCTCTCACTACAAAGTTGGCGTCGGTTGGTAGTTTCAAACTGGGGTCCCAAGCACGATGAAAACATTTGGTTGCATACACTTGCTGACACGGTGATTAGCCGGCCTAAATGGCGTTTGTGTTGTGAATCACTATGTCCCTCCTCTCTCCTTTTGCTTACTCCTTCAACAACGATCTCAACTCAATGTATGGTGCGATTTTAACGTTAAATTACTTTTATAGCTTTTAAAGTCTGTGCTGTTTGATCTCTTATCCTTTTGGTATTGCAGCACATTAGCTGAGGTGTCTCACCGTCGGCTATCGTGTAATGATGATGAAGCTGTTATCTGAGGAATAATGGCTTATTATGACACGGGGCAGTGAAAGCTGCAAAGAAGCTATCTCGTCGATGCCACCTTATCTTTGCACGATAGCCAGCTGTTTGTGACGGTGTGTTGTCGACAAGTTGTAGGCCCCTTGAATATGAATCTTTGCTTAGGGCATTGGAGTTTTCCGGTAAGTGTCTCGTTTCTCCCTCTTATTATTCTCCGTACCGTAAGTAGTTATGGTTGTATGGCAGCGGAGGATTAGTTCTAATGGCTGAGGTACTGTTGTTGAGGGCGATTATGTGGACCATCCCAAGGCCCCCATTAACGGAGATGGCACGTAACAGCCTGACCAAGCCACTTAGTCAATTTCTTTATAATATATCAAATGGACAGTCAAACGAACAGATGTATGACATCAAGTAAACGTGTAGACTCAAAAGACTCACCGAAATAAAAGATTCGAATGCGGGTCACGATAGATTGATCGTCAGGCTTCGAAAGCGGCTGAGTTTCAGAAGCGGTGTTCTGTGAGACTGAAAGGGAGAAAACCCGATCACGCATGGAAGTTACACATTAAGGACGTTAAATGTGGTATTAATGAACTTACATGTCAGTTGACTGCTTATTTTGCCAATAAGGGATTTAAAACGGCTGCAAAATGAATGTTATCGGAAAAAGAACGTACTCCAGGATAGATTGGAACCAGCTATTTTGGGGTTTCTCGACACTGTTGATATAGCCATTGCAGCCAAAGATACAGGTTTTCACTTCCTCGGCCGAGTTGGAGTAAAAGTCCTTGCATGAATCAGTACAGGATGGGTTAAACGGAGAAGACTTAGGTGCCATAGTCAACGCATACGCGTATGCGCATCCTCGTTCACAAGCAGACTATTGGTACACAGGGAAAAGATAAGCATAAGCAGCATAAGAAAATAACATGCTTGGATCAAACAAGTTAAAATCAAGTGGAGGGATTGTCAAGCTCCGACCGGAAGTGCGACTCGCTAAAGGTTATGTTCTTTAAAGTGAATAACCGAAATTATTGAAAATTAAGTATTTGAACTTCATACTAAGCTTCTTAATGTAAAAGATTGGGGTGAATCGATGCCTAATCATTATTGCAATATAGAAAACTTCCTAGAGGCTGGTATTCAGTAGCTGACCAGTGACCGCACAATTCCGCCCGCCGAAAGTAGACCGGCTATGCAGACTAGGCTTATCCTTCTACAAGCTTTGTCTGTATGCCCGCTTTAATGTAACCTCAGAGTAGTCATACAATAAGATGGAAAAGTGACATAGTTGGTAGCACCGGGACAGTGTATCGGCCACGGAAACAAAGGCTTCAGTGGTTAAAAGCCTTGCTTTGTGGTGCAAAGTCGGGAAATCAGTGGATGATTCTAGCGTTCATCTTTGACGGACATTTAGCTGATCGACCTCTCTTTGGTCTGTTTTAAAATACCGTTTTTCAGTTGTAACACCAGGATGAGTAAGGGGGCAATTGCGTTTCACTAATCGAAAAGTAGTTAAACATCTCGGCACAAATTTACACCGGGAACATTAGTAACATGGAACTGTCCACAAATACAGCTGAAGTACTTAATATGACCGCTGTTAGCACACTAATAGTTTGTAAAACCATGCCGGTTAGATTGTCATAAATGTTCTGACAGTACTTAGCCTAAGTTAGCAGTATTGAGTGCCACAAATGTAGTCAAAAGGCCTACACACGGCGAGTGTATTGTCAAATAGTATAAAACAAAGGAATAAAAAGGGTTCGTAAATACGTATGGAGTGGAAAAAAGTCAATATACCGGAGCTTCAGCAAACTCCAAAACATTTTGATGCCATAGGTTTGAGGCAAAAACCAAAGATAGGTGGTTTGGTCTGAGGGGAAGATTCCAATGCAGTGCAATACAGTGCAAATGTGTGAGAAGTATAAGTTATACACGAGGCTAACGCGGATTGCACACAAAGTGATAGCCTACTGTGATATTACGAATGTGACATATTTCAACTACAGATGGAAACTGTCGCTAGAAGGATGTGGTTACTGTTAAGATGCCAGAACTGGTTGCGTGCGAAATTAGTTGTGTTAAGAGGAAAGGGTCTATGAAGCAACTGCGGTTCGGTTTTCATTGTCTCACATCACCAAGTGACATGAGTAAGGGGAAAAACAACGACAAAACTGGTTTCCAACGTGTCGCCAAGGTTCCTGTACGCATCAAATCCATCGATTGTCTGAGTAGTGAGTGTCCTTGGACGTTTTACGAGCCAACTATAACAAATTCAAAACAGTTAGTTCCCTTAAGTAGTTTGAACACCGAAATGAGAAGACGAATATTGGCTGATGCTAGCATTTCGTATTATCTCGTCAGTACCAATACAGTAACAGGGAAACCCTTTTATGTCTTTATATATATATATATATATATATATATATATCTATAGACATAAAAGGATTTCCCTATTATTGTGTTGGTACTGAGATAAGAGGAAATGCTAGCATCTGCCAATCTTCGTCTTCTCATAACAAATTTGTCAAAAATGGTCAGACATGCGAAGTCTGCCGGTGCCTTAGTTTGGAGTCAGAACGAGGGTGGCAATGGTTCTTGTGGAAATGGCAAATACTGCCTTACGTTCAGATTTTGTTCTGTTCTCCGAGCTGAACAGTTTCGTTGCAGACGTTTCATCACCAGTCGTGGTGACTTCCTCAGTGCGTTATAAGCAAACTGATTTGTTTTGTCGATTCTTACCGACGAGCGAGTGACATTTGAACCTGCTCAGTTCGATTCAGGTCCCGTGATCATTGCTAGTTCCCAGTGTGGGCGCCGCCTCTTTCGACTCATGTGCCAGATGATCCACGTAAAATCTTTTCTCGCAGCTGCCTGTATATCGGATCTAAATCGATGCGTTGGTTTATTGAACTGACTGTAGAAAACCAGGCTTCAAGGAATTCTCTTCCTTTTTTGGTCTCTCCTTGCGCTAGTATCTCTGTTTTCTCCCAATCAAATGCGTGCCCTTCTTCATCAACGTGTGTCGAGACCAAGGATGATGGGTAATGGTTTCGACAGGCTCGCTTGTGTTCTTGTAGCCTTGTAGACAATTTTCTTCCCGTTTGGCCCACATAGTTCTTATCACAATTTTTACACTGTATCTTGTAAATGACGTTCCGGCGTTCGTGTGCTCTCGTCTTCCCTTTCGGTCTAGATAGGGTTCCTTTCAGCGTGTTGGTGGGTATGTGAGCCAATAACAGATGGTGTGGCTTGAGGAGTCTAGCAGTCAGTTCCGATACGTTCTTGATGTATGGTAAAGCGATCCGTTTCGTTGTTGTTGGTTCAGGTGTGGTGTTTGTACTCTTCTGGTTCATGTATCTTCGGATGAAGCTGCGTGGATATCCGTTGCGCATGAAGGATGTAAACAAATGATTTTCTTCCTCGCGTTTTGCTTCTGCAGTATTACAATGTGATTCTATCCTACGGAACAAGGTGCGTATGCAGCTGATTTTGTGACATTTTGGATGGTTGCTGTTGAAATTTAATATTTGATCTGTATGCGTGTCTTTCCTGTAAACTGATGTTTGTAGTTCTCCGTCCGTTGTTCTAGTAACCAATACATCCAAGAAAGGTAGTTTGTTCTCCATTTCTGGCTCCATAGTGAAGTGAATACCGTCCATTGCATCGTTCAGCAGGCTTTGTGCGGTCTGCAACTGGCTGCGTTTGAGTATGACAAACGTGTCGTCAACATATCTGACCCACAATTTCGGATTCACGACTGGTAGTAGATTTTCTTCTAACGTTTGCATGACAACCTCTGCAATGAGTCCAGATATTGGTGATCCCATTGGGGCTCCTTTCACTTGTTCATACAGTGCTCCGTCGAAGTTAAAGTAGGTCGTAAGACATAAGTCAAGAAGCTCGCATATACTATCAGTCGTCAGATTCCCAATTGCTCCTTCGCCAACATTCAGGCGTTCTCTGATGTTTTCTTTCGCCACTTGTAAGTTGACAGAAGTGAACAGTGCATTAACGTCGAAGGACACCATCATTTCTTCATTATCAATCCGCAGCCCTTTGAGTTTCTCCAAAAACTGCTGAGCGTTGTTTATGGAATACCGCGAGCCACTAATCAGGTGTTTAAGGCGCCTCCATAATTCTTTAGCTAAGTTGTAGGTGGGCGTACCAGGGAGTGACACGATTGGCCGAAGTGGTACACCAGCTTTGTGCACCTTCGGGAGTCCGTAGAATCGGGCGATGTTTGAGTCACGAGCTTTCATCCTATTGTGCTCCTCCTTTGTGAGTTGCTTTGAATCCTGAAGTCTTTTTAAGGTCTTATTAATTTTATTTGTCAGTTGTACTGTTAGATCGCTTTCTAGGCAGCGGTATGTTGTACGGTCGCTTAGGAGATTCTTTGTCTTTTCAACGTATTCTGTTTTATCCATTAAAACACACATACGTCCTTTGTCCGCAGGCAGGATCACGATAGTTTCATCAGCCTTTAAAGATCTGATTGCTTTCTGCTCTTGCCGTGATAAACAATTTTGTTGCTTGGTGTGGGTTAGCATTGGAACAACCGCATGTCTTAACTGTGTTTTCGTCTCTTCGTCAAATCCATTGGATTGCAAAATATTTTCGAATCCGGCAAGAAAATCTGTGGGTCTGGCGTCTTTGTAGTTATAGTTTAACCCTTTGATAAGCACTTGCCTTTCAGCATCACTGAGCGTCCGGCTGGACAGATTCCTGACCCAGTTGTCATTGGCACTTCCGCATTTGCAGCCGGTTAATTTAGCCAACTTCTCTCGTAAAGCAGCCTGCTTCTTCGCTCTAACCTTAGCTGTTCTACGATCTATTGCTATGCTCAATTGTTCTGTCAGATGTTGTCCAACGGTTTGTAGGCAGGAAGCTCTGTGTTCGTTTAGACAACTTTCATATTTCTTGATGCGATTGTGGGCATCTAAAATCATCATCCGTATCATGCGTTTTCCAAATTGTTTTGCAACGGCCCATGCTTGTGGATGATTAACTGGCGGCTTGTACCTCACACTTCGAGGAAGAACATCACTTCGCATGCAGTCATGGAGAAAAGTCAGTTGCTGCCGAGTCGAGGCAAGCCTGCAGGCGAAATCCTCCCATCGGCGAGCAATCCGGAGCGTTGAACGCCCGATTCTACGGACTCCCGAAGGTGCACAAAGCTGGTGTACCACTTCGGCCAATCGTGTCACTCCCTGGTACGCCCACCTACAACTTAGCTAAAGAATTGTGGAGGCGCCTTAAACATCTGATTAGTGGCTCGCGGTATTCCATAAAAAACGCTCAACAGTTTTTGGAGAAACTCAAAGGGCTGCGGATTGATAATGAAGAAATGATGGTGTCCTTCGACGTTAATGCACTGTTCACTTCTGTCAACTTTCAAGTGGCGAAAGAAAACATCAGAGAACGCCTGAATGTTGGCGAAGGAGCAGTTGGTAATCTGACGACTGATAGTATATGCGAACTTCTTGACTTATGTCTTACGACCTACTTTAACTTCGACGCAGCACTGTATGAACAAATGAAAGGAGCCCCAATGGGATCACCAATATCTGGACTCATTGCAGAGGTTGTCATGCAAACGTTAGAAGAAAATCTACTACCAGTCGTGAATCCGAAATTGTGGGTCAGATATGTTGACAACACGTTTGTCATACTCAAACGCAGCCAGTTGCAGACCACACAAAGTCTGCTGAACGATGCAATGGACGGTATTCACTTCACTATGGAGCCAGAAATGGAGAACAAACTACCTTTCTTAGATGTATTGGTTACTAGAACAACGGACGGAGAACTGCAAACATCAGTTTACAGGAAAGA